CCCGACGGGGGGGACCCGGGGTTTTGCCCCCAGCCACTGGAGGCTAGGAGAGAGGCAGGGACTGGATTCTCGCTCAGAGCTTCCAGAAGGACCCAGCCCAGCGGACACCTCGATTTCAGCCTTCTGGACTCCGCAGCTGCGGCAGAGTACGTGATTTCTGTTGTGGGCAGTCCTGGGAAACAGACAGATGGCCTGGGTAGCGAGGCTGAGGGCCCTGGAGGCAGGAGGAGCCCAAGGGAGCCCAGTTTTGCCTCCTCCAGTTTAGACGGACCCATCCCTCCTTTTCTGCCCCTCAGTCTCTCACAGGCCCTGACTCAGAGCCCTCCCCGTCTCTCAGGGCCTGGGCAGAGCTTTTGCTTGAGACTCTCGGCAACGCGGTCTCTACACGTTTCCCCGCCCACATGCTTGGCAGTTCCTCCCTTTCCTACCTCCCGCTGTGCACCGGGGCAGCCTCGTACCCAGCCGAGCTGTGCAAGTTACTTCTCCCCGTAGCGGCCCTCACTCTTGCCTCTGCGCCTTCCCCGCTCCAGCTGAATTTGTCAGAGATAAGACCCTGCACCGCTCTGTGATGGTGCCCTCTCCCGCAGACCATCCCCCAGGGACTTGGTGAAGTTGCCATTAGCCCACATGCCTCCTGGTCCTGTTCCCAGTCACTAACTTATGCGTATCTTTGGACAAGTCATTGTATCCTCTGCTCCTTCGTTTAGGGACCAGCAGATGGCGTAATGGTTACATTGCTGGACTCCCACGTAGGTAGTACCGTAGTTTGAGTTGGGCCCCGGTGGCTTAAAACTCACACCGGGTGCGCATGTGTGAGTGCCTAAAGTCCTGAGAGGAGAATGGAGGAGGACTGCGATGTGACCATTTCCCCTGGGGGGTGATTTCTCACTTTCTCTCCGTCTCTCTCTCTCTCTCTCTCTGGCAAGCACAAGTGCCCATAGCAAAAACCTCTCTAAAAAATTTTTTAAAATTAATTTTATTACCATTATTATTTTTTAAACTTGCTACAGGGCACATGTGCTTACCAGAGAGAAACAGAGAGAGGGAAAGTGAGAAAGCAAGTCACCAGATGTGAGACTTGAACCTTGAGCTTCAGTCGGCCATGTGGGAGTCCAGCACCTTAACCACCACACCACCTGCTGGCCCCTCCTTAGTTTCTTCTTAGGTAAAACAAAAGGGTTGGAGTAGATTTATTTATTCATCCCTCATTCATTCATTCCTCCATTCCATCAAAAGTTGAAACTGTGCCATAAATCCTGTGAATTAAAGGGCAAACGAGACAGCCCCGCCTTCAAGGAGTTCAAGTTTATAGCTTTTGTTTGTTTTAAATTTTTCCAGAGGGCACGTGCGCTTGCCGGAGATAAACAGAGGAAGAGAGAGGAGGAAAGTGAGAAAACACCCCTCATGAGAAATGGTCATGCCACACTCTTCTCCATTTCTCCCTTTCAGGATTTCGGGCACCCATGTACATGCTCCCGACATGTTACTGAAGCAGCCGAGTCCAGAACTCAAGCTACGCAGTTGGCCATATGGAATCCAGCTGCCTTAACCTCCATGCCATGGGCTGTCCCCTCAAGTTTCTGGTTTTCAAGTGGCTGATCACAGGCTTCCTCTAGGGGAAGAGATTTTGTCTCGCAATAAGGAAGAATCTACTAACAGAACTGCCTGTAAAAGAACAGGCTTCTGTGGAAAGGGTGAGCCTCTTGCCTGGAGCAGCCTCCAGGAGTCCCTCTGGGGTCCAAAGAGCCTCCATAAAGGCCTTATTGAGGAGAACCAGTATCACTTTTTCCACATAAAAATAAACAAGGATATTGGTACCAGCAGTTAGCGTAATGGCTATGTCACTGGACTCCCATGTAGCCAACTGTGGTTCGAGTCTTGGACCTGGTGGCTTAAACTCACACTGGGCGTGTATGTGTGCGTGCCCAAGATCCCGCGAGGAGAATGGAGGAGAAGGGATTGCGGCGTGGCCATCCCCTCTGGGGGGTGATTTCTCGCTCTCTATCTCTCTGTCTCTGTCTTTTTGGCGAGCGCACACGCCCTATAGAAAAAACCTCTCCAAAAAAAATAAATAAAAATAAAATAAACAAGGATATTTAATTCCAACTTAGCTGCCCTGGGAAGCAGCCCTGGAGTGAAAGCTTTCGCACTACTCAGAGTAACCCTCCCACCCAGATTCCATGAACCATCCAGAGAGCAGACAGCAGGCAGGCCGAGGAAACCACGCAGGTGTCATAACTGCTTTTATTCTTGTCTCCAGTCAGTCGCAGACCCCAGGAATTGAGGCCAGGGAAGGGAGCAGGCACAGGACCCTAGGGAACTTGGAGGAGCTGAGGCCTGGGCAGCAGATGTGTCTGGGGGTGTGGCAGACGTGTGTCCCCGTGCTGCTGTGTCTGCCTCAGACAAGAGAACACTCAGGGGAGGGAGTGGTGCAAGGGTGGCCAACTGTGTCTGAGAGAGGCAGCTGTCGTTGGACAAAAGGGAACAGCTGGTGGCTGATCAAAAGCAGGCCTGGGAGGTCCGAGGAGAACTGGAGAATCAAAAGCCAGCAGCCAGATCTTGCCCTCAACTCCCAGCCATAAGGCCCCTTGGTCGGTCTCCCTTTCCCAGAGCCAGGTCCTGCTTTTCCTCAGGCAGCCACAGGGGGGCAGCAAAGGGCTTGTATAAAATCCTAACCTACCTGGGAACTTAGACCACTTGGGACTTGTCCCCAGATGGGCCAGGGAGGAAGGCACAGAGCCTTTTGGAATAAGGGTGTCTGTCTTATTACAACTCCCCTGGGAGGGAGCGTAGGGAATGAGAAAACCAAGATCCGTGGGATTTCCGCCTGGCAATGCAGAGGAGCCAGGTATGTGTCTGGGAATTGTGCAGGAGTCTGGGGACTGTGTGTGTGCGTGTGTGTGTGTGTGCGCGCGCGCGCGCCTGCACCTCTCAGGCCACGGTCTGCAGCCTCTGGGACAGGAGGAAGAATCCAATTCCTCTTGGCTGCCTCCCCTTCCGGAGGATAAC